TATGACATATTACAACCTGAACTAACTTTGCCAAAAGTCAAATATGTTGTTTAAAAAAAAATAATTTGACACACAAACATGAGGATCTGGTTTTGATACCAAGACAGTTGCATCACCTTGACATTTTTGACTTGCGTGTCCCCCTAAAATAATCCATTTTAATAAATACATTTTAATTCAGACATTACAAACTATTAATTGAATCTATTATTGAATAAAACCAAAAAACATGTGACTCGTTGTTGACTCCTCCTGTTATTGTGAATGAGAACTAAAGAGTATGTGTCTGTTTTACAAAAATGTTCATTGATAATTCTTGTTTCAGCGTAACTCCGTGGCCCCTGCATTAAAACCTTGGGGCTTAAACACTTCACTAGATGTGGTTCCTCAGTCCCAGCTGCTTTTCCTACAACCAGTCATGCCAGCTGGTGACTGTACCGGCCAAAGCTCTGACAAGCAGAAACATTCCAGAAAGCATGTTCCCATGCAAAACACCTTTCAAAAAATTGGCCCCCATCTTGCACAAGGGTCTACAGTCGACGAAGGTCCCAGTGCTATCAATAAGAGGTCAAACCACAGTCATGCTGGAAGACATCAACGACGCCGTTATGATGAAAAACCTTTCCACACTTCCTCTTTGAAACAGGATGTGTCCGAGACATTTAAAGATTACGATGTAGACCCCAACATTGCTTCTTTGGGAGAAATCGGTCACGCTGTTGAAGACGTAGCTGTGAAAGACTCTTCATCCAGGCTTTCTGACCTTCAGGATCCCCACACCACCACTTCACCATTCTCACTGTGCACTGACTCCTTCCTCGCTTCATTCCCTCAAAAGAGTCCCGAAGCTTCAGTCACCCAGAGCAGTGATGTGGAGAATATCCCAGAGGCCCTTTCTCCAAGCTCCAGCAAACGCAAACGCTTCTGCAACACGTATAACATTTTGAATCGGTCAGGACTGCTGGGTATCACACTGCGCACAAAGGAACTTATTCGACAAAATGAACGTTCCCAGGCCCAGCTTCAGAGTCTGCAGGCTCAGACTGACCTCTTCTTGGAGGCCATATGTAGTGGAGATCCCAAAGTCTGGACGAGATTGCAGCTTATCCTCCAGAACTCCGGAAACAGCGAGGAGACACCAGTGGACTCACTGGTGGACTCTGTAAGGGGTGCAGAGCAGGATATCACAGATGTGGGTTGTATGGTGTAGTAGCAGGTTCAGATTGTATTATTTCAGCTGTTGTATTCTTGCTCCAACCGGCACTTTTCTAATCAGTCACTTAGCAAATTTTCAACATCTTGTCATAATATCAGTAGGAAACATCAAAGATTTGAGTCTTCAGTAGAGTCCAGAGATCTAGTTATCACTCCAAGCATTATCTATCCAACAGTAGTCATCTTTATCCTTGTGTCAAAACTATATAACGACAGTGTTTAGGTTACAGTTGCACCTTTTTCTAAATAAAGTGATACAGTGATTCAGAATTTATTAGCAAACTCAATTTGAAAAGAACGCTATTAACCGTTCTAGTATTTCAATCTAATTGGTTACTATTTGGAAAGGAGGCCTTGGAAAACCAGAACTGGAATGCAAAAATAGTTTCTGCTCGGAATCAAAGAAAATGGAAAACAGTTATTTTCTAATCACTGTAACTAAAAAAGTCCTTTAACAAATGATGAAGATATGAGTACTTAAGTATAAGTGCACAATAATGATTTTTTTTAATTCAGATGAAAATGTGACATTCAGTATCATCCTCGTGAATATTTGACAATTTGTAGAAATGTGTTTGTAATAATATTGTTTGTATGTGTATAATGTGTTTTCAAATGCATCTCCAAGTAAATGTTCTTGTTATCTATGAGAAAGACCAATGGACGGTAAGAGTAAGGGTAGTAATAACCGTTTGTTCTGGTCAGAATGTATTTGAAGTAGCACTTCAAATGTGGTTGTTATTTGTAATGCCTTGTATTATTAAGTGAGTTATTTACATTCTTAATGGAGGTTGTAATTGTCGTTAGGTCTGGATGTGAATGAGCAAATTGGCAAATGTAAAAAAAAAAAAAATTTCCCCATAGCAATCTGTTATACTGCATGCATACAGACTGTTTATTGTGTTTGGAAAGCAGGTACTAATAAGCTTTGATGACAGAGGCCAGGTTTAGTGGAGTAATGAATGCACTGAATGAATGTGATAGCATGTACACTTTGCAAGTGTACTTTGCTGTACAAATTTTCTTTTCTTTTTTTCTATTGTCGTTTTCTGGTTTGCATTTGTATTTGCTTTCCAAAAATATAAACACATTGTGTTGATTTATCAGAACCCGATACTAAATGACACATTTTTGCTGTAGAAATCTATGCAATAGTCTTGTTTAGTTTTAGTATTGTACTGAAGTGCAGTTTTGTATTCTGTAGGTGTCGTTTGACTTTTTATGTGCCTTCAAATAAAGGCATTTTAAATATATATTCAAGCTTTGCCCTGGTTATTAGTTATTTTAAGTTTGAACAATTTGTTCAGTAAATCATAGATTAACGTGTTTTCAGATTGAAGCTGATCTCCAAGAAAAGCCCTTAAGGTTTTGTTTTGGTTAAAGTCATTGGTGGTAACCTAAATATAGCTACAAATAAATCAATCACAGAAAAACATTCATCAACAGAAAATGTTCATCATCATTGCATGCTATGTTTTTCATGCATCAAATACAGAAACGTAATATTAATTCACAACAGTATAACACTAAAAAGGTGGTAGAAATTGATTATATGAACATATCATCTTAGCTGTGATAGCATAATAAACTCCAGCTTCTGAACAACTAACCTGCATCTAAACCAAGCATAGACATCTGATCCAGTCAAGATGGACGTGAAGGATATTTTGATAAGATATGATGCTCAGTTCAACTGCAGCCAAAGGATGTCGAGGGCCATGTTTCAAAACCTCAAACAGGACTGAGAGCAGAGCAATTGTAAGCGTGCACTTATAATAATTGAAACGCTGACATGAAACTTAATAGTGGATTGCTGTTTTATAAGAGGGTTTCAGTTACAGAACAGTGACCCTCCATTATTACTAATTACTTTGTCCATGTTGGACAGATCACAAAGAAAAAAATTAGCACATATTTACTGCTTGGTTTGATCGTGCTGTAAATCAAAAATTCTCTATGGGAAATGTAAAACGAAATGTTAATATAGCACCAAACTCAAAATGCTTTCTGCAAGCCTTAATGATAAAAATCCACACGATATCTGCCATTTACTGTAAGTAACAGAATGTGATCCTGCAATCAAGTATAATAAAATGTTTTTATTGTGTTTAAATGTTTTATCATGTTTTTTAAATGGTTTTTATAACTAATAAAATAATAAGTAATTATAATTGATTATAATATTTAAATAAATTTGTTTATGACCAACTTTTTAAAGATATGAAACATCACACATTTTTAGAAAAATTAAGTTGGTATCAAGTACATGTGTGCTTTTCAGAAATTAACTGAAATGAATTTGAATTGAGGTAGCAAATAGGATGAATTTAAATTTCAGAAATTTGAATATTGAATGGAAGTGGTATTAAAATGATTGGAATTCAAAGTTCATATGACTGCAATGTTTAAATAGAAATACTAAGTATGTGAAGACACACTTGTTCACTAAGGCTGCTTTTATTTGATCAAAAATACTGTGAAAACAGTAATATTATGATAACATTACAATTTAAAATAACTTTCCAAATGATCAACGTTGAAAATTGTTGTGCTGCTATAATATTTCTGTGTAAACCATAAGGATGATGAATATAAAGTTCAAATGAACAGCAATTAGTTAAAGTAGAAATCTTGTGTTGCATTCTAAATGTCAATTGAATGCATTCTTGTTGAATAAAAGTATTAATTTCATTCCAGAAAGCCAAAGGTTTTAAGCCATTAACTCCAAAGGATTTATATTTTTTTTCATTCTTTTTTTTCAGTTTTAGTATTTATGCATTGCCTGTGTTTTTTTTATTGCAAGTACATTTCTATTTAAATTACAATTGAACTTCCTGTGGTATGTGGCCAGTTCAATTCAATTTCTAACTAAATGTCACCCACATTTTAGCAAGCCACTTGTGTATGGGCCCCCGCGGAACGCAATTTCTAGTCCAGAACCGGTGTTCTGACAAATAATGCTACCAACCAGATTAGCTACCAACACTGTATTTATCCTACTGTAAGGGTAGGTTTAGGGTTGGGGTAGGTGTACATGTTAATAAAGCCTCACACAGTATTAATATCATGCTGGAAGCAAAATCTGATAGGTAGCACTTTTCGCTATCGAATTATGCTTCCATCTGTTTTAATGGGAGGTAGCAAAATTGGCAAAATTGGGTCAATACCAGACTACTGATAAGCTTCAGGACAAACAATAAAAATAAATCCTCCCTCTCACAAGAGTCACCTAAGAGGGGAATTCACCCCATTTTCAAAAATGAAACTCAGGCCCTGAATGAATCTGTAAAAATCCTAATCGGAGTATCACTATAAATAATTCTACATGTTAAAAAGAAGCCTTTTTTATCATGTAGATAAAAACAGAGATAAATCAAGTCCCTCTAAAACAGAGAGGGACACTCTCTGTTAGGAGAAATCACACCCGCTCCCTGAGAAAGTCAATATTTTAATTTTCTTAAATAAAAATCGCTAGAGACACCAGAATTCTTTATTATATTCTGTTATGCTCCTATGCACATGCTGTTCAAATATGTTGTGCTATAGTATGCTGAGGAAATCTCTCTCTCTCTCTCTCTCTCTCTCTCTCTCAAGGGCCTTTTTATTTTAAAAATGTGCTTTATGTGCCTTTTTCTGTTTGCTTGGAGGCATTTGTAAACTGCAGTAATAAGATAACGTGAATCTATTTACATCATTTATCGTACTGTATCGTATCGGTACCATGCCTACCCCGGAATTGATCTCAAAATCCACCGTGGGGGGCCCCACCCAGGACACTTGCTGAGGGCCCCCAAAACACTAAACACACCCCTGCTTGTGTAATAGTGTGCTGATTACCTAGTGTGCGTTGTTTTGTAAATACCCATTCAACCTTTAATCCCGGCCTCCTTCTCTGATGCTGCTAATCACTGCTGCCCTGAACTAGGGCTGAAATTGAGTTTCAACACAGTGCTGATAGACATAGATATGGGTGTTACAACTTCTTTGTGACATAACGCTGTCCTAATTTGTGCAGCGTTGACAGAAATCCACTGAAAAGGTAGATCAGTTGCATGCACTGAAGCCTGTATCACATTTAATAACTGGTCGACACAGGTCAAATCATGATGAACACACTGATACGGCAAGTTCTTGGCTTTTCAGTCATGTCTGTGATCATGGTAGACCTGCCGGTTCCCAGGTATGGTCTCCACAGTCTGAACTGGCAGGAAAAGGCCCAGAGCCCAACGGGAACCGAAAACATCAGTCAGGTTGGCAAGCCAGGTCCCACGACTCTCTGACAGCTGCCCTTTCTGCAGCTCGCACCAGGTCTGCCCTCGGGCTACTAGTAGAAGCTGCTGACAGCAGAAACCGGCGCTAACCAGTCCGATACCCAGCCAGACATACAGCATTATAACCAGAAAGAACTGGAGACCTGAAATCAAACCTGAGGGGAGAAAAGAAAGAATGTTCTTATCAAGGATATCTGAAGCAGGAAAGCTTCAAGAAAACAAAATTAAACCTACCAAGGAAGAAGTAACCTGTCGAGAGCGGTAGAAGAGTGAGGAACATCAGTGGGTTCTCAAAGGAAATGGAGTATTCCATTGTAAGATACGCCACCCCGACTACCACCGAATACAGACAACAGCAGGATGTATAGATGCTGAACATAATAAAGTAGCGCATGTTCCTATTCCCGATGCAGTTTCCTGTGAAAAAGCAGTGGTGGTCCCGTTTTAGAATCACTTTCTTACACACTTTACAGAAGTGGCGTCCATTCAGGAGGTAGTGGGCGTCAATTCGGTCCGGGCAGTCGGGTGAACAGACTGGAATTACTGTCTCGTTGCCACTCTCAGATGGGTACCATATAGTCATTGTGTAATTACCCAATGCGTTCCCCATGAGGAAGAGAAAGACAGTGATGTGGACCAGCATGGTGGGATTTAGCGCCACATCTGGACTTCGGAAAACAGTGGGCATGAAGAGGAGGAAGTGGAGGGCGAATGTGACCACGGTTGCAGCGTAGAAGTATGCAGGTGCAATCGTGTTGAGTAGTCTGAGTTTTACCATCATGAACAACATGCCTGTGTTAGATTAATAAAAGAATGTCTTAATTGAGTATATTAATTCAGCTGAAGATGATAAAATCATAATTTCATGATGGCCTTTGAAGAAATTAATCCCTATGAAAATTAACACTACTTGGATGAAAATGATGAAAGAAAGTTATATGTTACTGACATGCTGTAAACTTACTTTATACTTTATGATACTGTAAAGATTTTAACTGGCTGTCAATAAAGGGTTTTTCTCGGCCAACAAGTATCCAATTCATTAAGTTCAAACAAAATGAATTGGAATGATGGCTTCCTTGGTTTGGAAATAATTATTATTTTTGAAATTTTGTGGGTAAATAAGGCAAGGTGTGACATTTGTGTTCCAGTATATCTGAACCAAACGAAATTTCAGATATAACGTGTATTTCAAACATGTTTCCCAAAAACTCCCCCGTCTTCCATTGGTCGACAAAACAGATAGCCCCGCCCCCAACTCACGCCATGGGTTCAGTCTATGTTGCTAAGTAGAGGTATTCTATAGTCTTTGGTAGGACTAAACAAAAAAAATAAGAAATTCTGGAAGCCACAGTGTTTACACTTTATATTCAAGAATAAATCAAATTTGTCTCTCGTCTCTGCACATTAAACTGTGACTGGATAAAGTATTTTAACAGAAAAATTAATGAATAAATGCTTGCATCAGCTTGAATACAACATATCATCAAGAAACGGATAGCCTACATCAGAGTTCCTCAAATCTTGCCCTGGAGGGCTAATGCGCTGCAGAGTTTAGCTCCAACCCTGATCAAATTAACCTACCTGGGATTTTCTAATGATCCTGAAGACATTGATTAGCATGCTCAGGTGTGTTTGATTAGGGTTAGAGCTAAACTCAGCAGGAAAGTGGATCTCGTGGGCCAGATTTGAGGATCCCTGGCCTACATAACCCAAAAAACCCTCAATCGCTCAGATATCAAATTTTTATGCAGACTACCACCTTACACAGAACAGAATCGACATCCTTTAGGGTTTAAATATATATACCATGTTTTTATTAGTAATAATGACGCTAAAATGCATTGTTTTCAGACAATGGAGTGAGAAAAGATGTGATGAACCGTATGGATGCATTAACTAAATAGGTCGCAGAGGTCTAATAGCCTACATATCAAAATTTTACATTTTATACAAACGTATATATTACAGACAGGGTTCGTGACAAATAGATAAAGGAACAACAAAGCCTGAAGCATCGTATCTGTTTGAAACAGAAGCTTGATGATGATATTGCTGGGTTATTACCTGACGCCGGCTAGACCAGAAGAGCCGCTGTATCCGCGCAGGAGCGCATCCCTTACTCACGCTGCTTGGAGATTAGCCTATTATTCTACCTTCAGAAAAAGCAAAGCAGTTATGATTTCGTAATAATGAGCGCATCTGTTCGCGACGTGTCTCAGTAGTTTAGCGCCGTCTGTTGGTGTGGACACAGCACCCAGCTCCTTTGGAAATAAGAAAAACAGTGAAACAGCTACACTCGTTATGGATATGTTTAGGTGTGTATTCATTGTTCTGTATTACTATGTGAGTTTATATAAATATTTGATATATGTATGCCGCTGAATAATACTGTTTTCCACACAATGTGCATTTACAACGTTCACCAACAGATGGCAGTGCAAATCAATGCTTATTTCAAGCAGATACGTTTATTTAATTATGTCTGCGGCGTTTGATTCATGTAAAACCATGCCGTAAGACTTAAAACTAGCATTTTTAGATGTGGCTCAACAAGCTGGTGTCTGTGATACGCAGAGACACAAAGTCAAAGTTTTTCGTTTTCGTTTTTGGTGAAGGCGTGTCTCTTTCCACACGGTCCCTGGGCGGATGGGCGCTCCCCGTGAGCGCTGGTGCTGATGCAGACAGACAGAAGCATCCTACCGGACATAAACCACAGGACGTGTTTGAAAGGTAAGCCGCACTGTTGTTATATTCACCTCGCTTCTGATGAACTATTCTCAATTATATCGTGCAGGAAAGGATTCAACAAACGACTCAATGATTCATTCCGAACTTCAACGGCTTTTAAAAGTGGGCGTTTTGATATAACAGTTATAGACAATGCGTTTAAAACGCTATTGCTGCAGAGACCTAGGCTATGCTTGGGTGCTAAACACAGAGGAGGGGTGATACTTAAATAATTGAACTGCTTGAGGTGTCTGGAAATACTATGGGCATATTGATGGCATAAGAATGGTTTTGCTTTGCTTGTTTGTTTACCGTCTACAACATCTCCAGGAGCCCCGCTGTTTTATTGTGCCAGGGGAGTGCGATTGTGAGATCCTAATATTATCTTTTTCAAGTTATGGTTGCTGTGCTGCTGCTGCTGCTGCTGATAATGGCTGTATTAGTCCTCACATGCTGACAGCTGGGAGTTTAATGTCTGGATAATGCATTGAATGGGGCTCAAGTCAAAGCTGCGCGTTACAAATCAGAGGATGGGGGCGGATATATTTCTCCACGCTGTTGCCAAGAAGCTGTGATATGATGCTCAAGCAGATAATCATAATAACTTTCACAATTAGAAATGTAGTCTCTAATCATCCCTCTGAGAATCAAACATTACTTTAACAGGTAGAGGGGGGAACTCACAAACCTGCCAGGGACATGTGCTGGTTATATCAACACAAAATAAAATAAAATAGCCTAAGCCTATTTTCATTGTTTCATAACAATTAAGCATATTCCCCATTAAAACGATCAGAATGCAAAATAACTGTATTTGTATATAATAGCCTAAGTGCAGAGATTCGTATTATATAATGGCTATTAAACAATGTTTTACTTAAAGATTTCATTAGAGGTCATTGTGATTGTGAAAGGGATTTATTCGATTTAGACATTATGGTAGTATATCGTTGTGTACCTCCTTTAATTTACACAACTATGACTAAAAAAGGGATGCCGTAACAAAAAAACGCTGCATTACAGTCATGAAAATCTAATGAGAGTAATCAATGTGATTAAAAGGAATTTGTTAAAAAAAATAGCCTATTTTATAAAATGTCCAAATGCAATGGACCATCCAAACGTTTGGGGAGGAAGTGTGCTTCATTGTTATGAAAGTGATGTTATTTCTAAAAAAAATAGTCTTCATTTACTACAACATTTATTTGTTTGTTATTATGGATTTTTGAAATGGACATAGTGTTCATTTCAACTCCAACTGTGCAACCATAAAGAATTCGTCGCTGCATTACAGTCATGAAAATCTAATGAGAGTAATCAATGTGATTAAAAGGAATTTGTAAAAAAAATAGCCTATTTTATAAAATGTCCAAATGCAATGGACCATCCAAACGTTTGGGGAGGAAGTGTGCTTCATTGTTATGAAAGTGATGTTATTTCTAAAAAAAATAGTCTTCATTTACTACAACATTTATTTGTTTGTTATTATGGATTTTTGAAATGGACATAGTGTTCATTTCAACTCCAACTGTGCAACCATAAAGAATTCGTGGATGAATAATAGCATATTGTAACATTGTGTTATCAGGAGATTTTTCAGTACCCAGCATGCTTTGCGTGAGCCTAAAGGGCATGAATAAAAGTAGACAGTTGAGTGTTATTCTTTGTGGTTTTGAGCGATATGAACAGGGGGAATGTGTGACTGCTTAATGTTCCGTTATGCCACCATTTAGAAAGGATTCTGTTTTTTATTGTGTTTGCTATTGTGGTAAAGAGTGAAGTTTGTGCTCTTTTCAGAGAGAACTAATGTATGCTAACACTTGCTTTTCTTAGTAAAACAAGATCTCCTCTGCCTTGTACCACCCACCTGCATCCTTGGCTACAATATCTGCTAATCTAACAGCACAAACCAGTATAATCATGCTGTTCACCAGCAAAAAAATTGGCTGTTCTGATAATGAAACAGCAGGTTGTTGCTGGTTAAGCCAGTCAGCTAATGTGATTCTTCGGCTTTATTCCATGTGCTAACCAAGTGTGACACAGCAGTCTTCAGTGCAAATCAGATCTTTTATCAAATCAATTATTGTGCCACGACAACAAAACCTCTATAAAAAATGAAGCAATAAAAAGATGAAAACAAACCTGCACACCAAAATCAAAACCCTATTCTAGTATTGATTACCTTTAAAATAGCAAACCACCTCATCACCAGTTATACTTCTTTATACTCTGACAAGCTAAAATAAGATTTTAAGCCTCTGTGGCATTTGTAAGACTTGTCATGCTTTCAGAAAGAAGTCATCTCTAAATCAGTGGTTCCCCCATGCACCGAGCAATAAATGCCTGACATTTGCGGTCTTCATCAATGGCCAGTGTCCATCTGACTATTAAGGATAAGACACAGTTATGGCACCAGTCACCAGTCAGATTTTCCATCTGCTTCACATATAAATGGAGCATCTTTGAATGATATTCAGCAATGCATGATTACCAAACTTACTGTATAAAGCAATTCATAGTAGTCGAAATGTCACTGCACTTGTGACAGAATGTTGGTTGAAGCTCATAATTGGATCATGAATAAATCATCAGAATGAACACCTGCTCTTGGCTGATGTCTCTTTCGGCTCCCATTCCTTACTATTCTCATTAAAGAAGAAATATTAGTGGCACCTTGCTGGAATTGTTTTTTGGTTTGTCAGTTGCATCAGAGGGGTGAAAACTTTTGGCTCTTAAATACCGTAGCGCATGGTGAATCTCTCAAAGTCTCCTTTCTGTGTTTAATTTTCATGTTCCATGTTTGTTTGGTTTCTACTTTATCAACAAATACTTTATATATGTGTGTGTTCATGTGTGTGTGTGTGTGTGTGAGAGAGTGTGCATGTTTATGTGGTTTATGAGGACACAAATTTGTATAATAACATGGGTATGACATAGGTATTACAACGAGAAGGTGATTTATGAGGACATTTTCAGTGTCCCCATAATTCAAAAGGCTTATAAATAATTCAGAATGAGTTTTTTTGAAAATCTAAAAATGCAGAAAATTTCCTGTGAGGGGTAGGTTTAGGGGTAGGGTTGGTGTAGGGCAATAGAAAATACGGTTTGTACAGTATAAAAACCATTACGCCTATGGAGAGTCCCCATAAACCATAAAAACAAATGTGTGTGTGTGTGTGTGTGTGTGCGTTCATATTAATATTAAACCAAGTCCATTAAAGTCTTATCATGTGAATGTTTTTCAACATTTTTTACATTTCAATACAATTGCTATGATACAGTAAAAAGGCATATTTAAAAGCTTTTATTCTTTGTAAACAGCATAGATAGCATGAAAGTTGCAAACAAAGAGATGCACCTTTCATTTAATCAAGTGCTCACTAAAACATCTCACTTATAGATCAAGTTAATTTCTTTTCAGACATGACTGAAAGTTGTGCTATCCAAGATGTGTTGTACAAGTGGATCAGCTCCTAAAGGGATAGTTCATCATGTCATTTTAATTCACCTTGATGTCTTTCCAAACCCGTATGACTCTTAATATATCTGTGATATATCATAACAATATTATGATCATTTAGAAAATAATTCTGCACAGTGGCAGAACATGAAATAAAGCACCAATAGTGTCACCAAAATAGTAAGTGACACTAAAAAAAGTACATGCAACTTGCTGAAGATTTCCCAAGTGCCAAAACAACCCAATATTTAGGTGGCAGAAATGCACCATTCTTATTCTTTTTCTGCCATTTTTAATGTTGGTTGAAAGAAACCAAGGCAAAAATATGCATTTCTGCTAAGTTTACATAACATATAAACCGTAATATTAAAATAATATGTTTATGATGGTAGTCATGTTAGACTAGAATGCATTAGTATCTCTATTCCATGAGCTTTAGAAGAAATATAGAGCAAACCGTAATAGCATAGCAATCTATAAAACATCATAAACTATAACACTCCAAAAAGACAACAAATAGCTCAGTAAAATCTATGATGTGTTTATAAATTAGTAAATGCATTTACTACCATGATTAAGCATTTTACTAATGGTCTAAACAGCACGACACTACCGTCTTCAATTCTGGACTTCATTCCACATCAATGACAAATATGAATCATAAGCATATTGACCTCATTAATACAATGTGAGGGAGGAGGCAGATGTGAGTAGACGTTCACAAATGAATACTTCTTTGAAAACAGCTGTTAGGAATCGTGCCAAAACCATTCGTTTAGCCAGCAGGTGTGACTACATCACGAGAGGCTTGAAACAAACCTTATTTTAGTTCATAATGTGCTTTCCCAGAGTTTGTAGACATGCTGCTTAGTCATTTTCCGAGACTGCTGCTTTCTCTCCAGTGGTTCGGTGATCAAAAGCTTGTAATACATTCCTGAGAACACACAACAAATAATCCTCAGTAAAATGTGTATTTGGCATCTCTAACAGCAGCACAGGCATGAATATTTGATGGTGCACTTGGCTGAGATTGAAAGTTGATACATCCCTCTGCAGTACACCAAGAGCCACAGAGGCTGGAGCGTGAGCTATAGAAAGTTCACACAGGTAGTGGTTGGATATGGATAGATGGAGCTGTTCGTCTTCCTTAGATTCCCTTTTGCATCATGACATCCAACAGCTGGCACGTAGATAGTTTCTGGCCTTGTTTGTCAGTACTTTGTCATCATCTGCGTGATTTGTTGTGTAAGGACCACATACGGTTTTGTTTTTAATATTATCTTTGGTGCAATATTGTCTCGTTCATACACCCACACACATACACAAAAAAATTGAGACTGGCACCTGAGGCCTTCACACAGTGCAACAGTGTGTGTGTGTGTGTGTGTGTGTGGCATCCTTGGTATCAGACAGAGGTTAGGATGTTTGACTGAGATATATGAATGACCAGCGTCTGGGCCAGTTAACATACCTCAAAGGTTGCTTATTAAAGCTGCAGTTGTAAATATGAAATAAATTATGTCTCTGAAACCATTGATGAAAC